CTTTTGGAAGGACCATTGCTTGCACACTACCGAAAGTTTATTGTCTTTTTTATTTAAGTGTCACTGCCTTGTGTGATGAGCTTTCTTGAACCTTGCATGAATAAAACTAGAATTTGCCCGGTTAGTCTAATTGATTAGAAAAGTATCCTCTTTACATAATCTTAGGCACTTTTTAAGAGTGTGACCCAACCTTCACATATTCCTCTTTTGTGGCCTACCCCTGAGAGTGTGAAACTCTTTTGAACACCCTTTGAATCTTACCTCTTCCTTGAAAGAACCTTGATGAAATCTAAACTTATCATTATATACTACTTATAACCCTTTTTGATATGTGATATAAGTAAATATCCAACATAGGCTAAAATCCTAAGTTGGGGGTGTTGTGAGAAGAGAAAGAAGAAGTCGAGAAGCGCAAAAGAATTCTCGCAAACCCATGGTATTGCAAAGAAATGGAAGCCTTCCATAAAAAAGAAGAAAGAAAGAGAAAACAAAATAAAAATAGTGAAACAAAAGCTCAAATATTAAAGAAATCGAGTTTTCATGAAATCTATGAAGGGAAATAAATGATTAACTAAAAGCACTTGACTAAGGATTCATAAAGGAAGATAGGGGACAGCTTAAGGAAATGACATTCCATTGGAGAAAAGTCACTGAGCCCAAATGACCATACCTTTACACTCAGCCCATTACAAGCCTTAGAAAAACCTTTTTGATCTTGACTGAACCAAACCTAACCGAAGGTCAATTAGAAAATAAATGCGAACTTATGGGTGAAAACATGCATTGTGTTTTTTTGTGACTGTGAGCGTTGCATAACATTCATTATCCTAACTTGATAAATCTACGTGTGTGAAAATTTAATCATTCTTTGTGTGAGGGCATTTAGTCACATTTGTTGAGCTTCAACCTGCATTATTATCAAGCATTGTGAGCTCAAGAAATTTTGGTAATGGTGTGCAACTTGAATCTTGGAGTATACAATTGACCTATGCATGAGTAATTTGAGTCTTGTTATGTAGATTCATGACTGAGTCTTGTGTAGAACTAATTGAGACATCCTATTTGAACGACTACACTTGTGTTTTACTTGAGTACAAGCAAAAGTTTAAGTTTAGGGTGTGGATGAGCCCTCAAATTGGACTGATCTAGGACCATATTTTAATGCAAATAGTGTCCTAAAGTATGTATTTTATATCGATATCTGATAAAAACTTCTAAATGATATTTGAGGATTTGGTAGGAGCATGTACACTTATGCACAAAACAGAAGCCAAATGGAAGAAAAGAGTTGAAGATGCAATGTGCGCATTTCCAAGAAGCAGAATTCTGCATTCGGCTACAGTAAATAAGTCCTGAAGGAAGTGGATGAAAAGTAAACGAAAAGAAGCAGTTGGCGCTTCGCCAAATTCATGCAGAGTTATTCCACCCTACTTTACATCAAGAATAGATATAAAGTCAATGCGAATGGCGATGAATCAGATAAGGGGAAGATCGATGAATCACTCGGTGATTCACGACTAAAGACGCCGAATAGATCCACCAGCACTAAATCTGAAGCATATAAGTACTAAACTCTTTTATTATTTAGAGAGTGGTTTTCAGAGAGAAATTTTAGAGTGTGAAACATTAGAAACTTAAATTTTATTTTTAGAAAATTTATTCTTATGTTATCTTTGATGTTTAGAAAAGGTTTTAAGAAATGTTGAAGAAAGAAGTTCTTCTTTCAATCATTGAAATGAGTCTTCTCTATTTACATTCCTATGCCATTTTTAAGGTTTAATATATTATATTCATTTGATTCCTTTATCATTTTAAGAATACTTGATTATTGCTTGGTCTGTGGCTAAAAACCCCATTCTTGGGGTGTGATTTAGCAAATATATGTGATATTATTCTCAAGTCTTGCTTGTTTATAGGATTAGATGCATTTTACTGGTGATTTTACTTAGTGGTTTTGGTTTAAGTTAATGGGTTTGTAGTTGCAAATAAAAAACCATACATGTGTTTTAGGCTTGCCCAAGAGGGAGGTTGCGAAAACAAGACCACTAGTCTAATGACCTAAGGAGTGGGTAGAATGAGGTTAAACCCGATAGGGTGAGCCCTAGTCCCTAACCCTCTATGGAAAGGTCAGGTAGTAGGTAAGGCTTAGGATGGTTAGTTTAGACGTGTCGGTGTCCGATAGGAGCACATTAGATATGGGGTAAGTTGTCCCAGAGGGAACATACTTTCACCTAAGTATTGCCTAGTCACCACTGTCATTCGAATTTTCCTATCAAAAGAATTTATCTATTAGTTTATGTCAAAATATATTGCGGTCACACCCCAAGAACTCTCTCACATACTTGTTTTCTCCTTTATTTTTGATATTTTCCTACTTGTGACAAAAATCCTTCTTGACTTTTGGAACTTTGGTGTCACAAATAGAATTTGAATTTTGTTTTAATACTAGAAAATGTCTTGAGCTATCACTATTTAGAATGAAATTCTATGTAGCAACTAATTTCACTACTACTCCCTTGAGACACGACCCCAAAACTTGGTATGGTTAATTTTCTAGCTTTGATTCGTAGACACTCAAATTGTAAGTTAGTGTCGTTGATCACGAAATATAAAAGATACACATATTGAAGAATCACGGATACAGCTATACCTGGTGAAATATCCTTAAAGACAGTGTCTTTCAACACGCCTCAAGTTATGAGAAGTTCCTAGAAGAGTTATTGGTGAAGTATAAGCTTTGGTGAATTCGTACAGTGTTCATCAAGAACATATTTTTCATATGATTTACAAAAAATTTTAGGATAGTTCAGAATTCATGCTTACGGAAAATCAATTACAATAATTTAAGCATCTTCGGAAAAAATTTCCTTTAACAAAAGATAAAGGTATGTGTTCTAGGTTTTATATTGCTCATCACGATGATTTATCTTCATATTATTGACAAATCATTAAATAATAATTGGAAAATGTATAAGTATCCCCCAACCTATATCCAAAATACCAGACACATACTTATAATATATACTAAGGTCTTATTACCCCTCTAAACTTATGTTATAAATAATTTTATACCCCTTTTCGGCTTATGTGGCACTAGCTTGAAAAAAATATCAACACGCACTGAGCAGACATGACAGTGTCATGTAGTCCGAAAAGGGATAGGAATTTTTTATTAAATAAATTTAGGGGGGTAGTAGGACCTTAGTATAGTATAACTGTGTCATTGAGATTTGGGACATATTTAAAGTAGTGTATTAGTGTTAAATAATTTGAGGCATATCCTCTTGTCAGTTTGAAAGAAAAGAGAAAGAGATTAGCCTAACATATAGATTGGAACCAGTTTTTTGATTTTTACAATATTGAGATTTTCTGATAAACAATTGGTGTTGGATTTCTAGAGATACTTTTCAAACAAATAATTAGAAAAAACTAGAAAATATTGTACTAGACTTGAGACTTGATAGCATCTTATTTCATTGAATATATTTGTTGGGTTCTTTTATTTAACTGTATGACTTTGCTTAAATTTTTTATTACCAATAATAATGTAGAACATTATGTGAGGAAAAGTAGAAAAACTTATCAAGGTATGTACTGATACTATGTGTATATATTTTTAATGATTATAATTTGTGTTAGGTGAAATCAATCAACATGCCGATATGTGAAGAAGATTCAGAGAAATGATAGTCCCCGTTAAGTAAATATAAATGTGACTACGTGAATGATGTAAATTATTGTGGTCATTTCCCAATTGAATTTTATGGATAATATGTAAAAGTGAACGATTGGGTGTTAGATAATTTGGTGCTAATAAGCAATTTTGTGCTAACTAGCGTTATTTGTGTTCTAGAGAAAAAATTGAAAAATGAAGAATGAATTTATATATGTTTGTGATTCTTGAATTACTTTTGTTTTAAGAATAAAAAAACACTTTTTATTATACTCACATTTGAAACTATTGACGTGATTTTGAAATATTAATAATTTTAATAGTTGTTCTAGATTTATGCTTATCAATTGGTGAGAAAAAAAATTTAATAAAGGTTTTATTTGAGTTTGATAATGTGTTTGCAAATGTTGAGATGACAATGAGTATCTGATTGATTGAGATAATTCTTGATGTGTTTGACTTTAATTTAATTTTGCTATGTCGATGTATAGATTTGTATGTTACATACTAATTTGAAAACTTTATGGTTATTGAAAAAGTTAATCCTCTATTATGAAATATTTAAAAGTGTAGGAGTATCTTGTCAAGGTTGTGTTACATGATCCTAAGAAAAGAAAAATAAGATCTAAATTTTAAAGTATATGTTAATAAATGTTGTATATACATATTTGTGGTAATCAATCATGATTCAATTGAATGCAATGTTTGAGTTGGAAAAATAAAAATTGTATTGTTTAGTGTTTAAAATTGATAATATTTTTGTGTTATTGTTGTTTGAAACAATATTGCTTCTTGAGGTATCATTTTTGAAAGAAGTCATTGATGACACAAGAGAAGTACTACAAGATAAATTGAATAGTTTGTGGTATTGAAGTACAATATATCGTGTAAAGTGAATTTCAAAATTCACAAGAGGTTATGTGTTTGCCCTTGGAGGAGGTGTCATTACATGGAAATTAGTCGAGTTAGTATTCCATTTCGAACAAAATAAACATATTTCATGTTTATATATTGTGATTGCCAAGCTAAAATAGCTATAATAATAAATAATACTTTCGTTGGCAATTTGAGACATGATTTGGTAAAACAACTTTTATGAGATTAAAATAATTAAGTAAATAAATGTAAGATCTCAAGACTAGAAAGAACAAGAAAGGATTTAAAAATCATAAAAAAAATTATTTTAGAAAGTATGTCACGCCCGAAGACTACACCCTGCACATGGTCGGCACCCAATGACTATTGCTCGCCTTGAGCAAACCATTGGTCTAGCTTACTTAACTAAGCGGAAGACTTAGCTCAACTCAACTATTAAAAAGAAACATTCTCAAGAGAAATACTCAATTATATTAGTCTGGCCAAAACGACACTCAAGTATCAATATGAAACATCTCTGAATAAGGAGAGACCCAAAAGTGAATTATCTGACTCTAATATACTAGTTGGATGTTGGGACAGACCCCACACCATCCTATAAATGAAATATTAGAAAACACATTGAAAGTGTCCTCTGGAATACAAGGAGGCTCATCACTGACCCCGAGTGCTCAACTCGATCAACAAGGCGTTGGATGTTGATTGGGTTTCCTGCATCTACATCATAAGACGATGTAGGCCAACTACCATCAGTACATTGAATGTATGAGTATGCTAGTTGGTAAAACTAAACAACAACTTAAAGTTTGAGAGGATTAAGAATATATTTCCTTGGTGCTGCTCAACTCATGAAATACTAACTCATTATAAAGCAGTAAGGACACGGAATATATATGAAAAGCTTGTAAAAACAGAGTCAACATCTTAGTTCATTAAAGATAATGCAATAAAGAACTCAATTTTACTTGAAATGAAAGTAATATAGATTTATTAGGACTTTTCTAACCAACAATCATAACTATGAGAATAAGTGATGGTATAATGTCTTACCTCACGTTGCAAGAGGACCGCCATGTACCTTGTTGTTTGTATAGAACTTGAACTACTAAGTGAATTTACTAGTCTAGGCTAAAAAACACTAAGGAATCATTTAAAAAATATGATCCTTTATATGTCCATGTTGGCTACATGGTTTATGGAGACTTGAGTTGATATGAACTTGCTTCCCCATATCGGTGCTCAATGGTACTCCCAATATAATTAGTTCATATGTTTTTCAAACAACTTTTTCTCTATTTTGAGGTAATTGCTCAAGCTTAGCTTGAAAAGATCTGTTGGAAATCATAGTTCCCCTTTTCTAAAACAAGCCAAAAGCTCTGTGGAAATCTATCTTCTTTCTTTTCTCAAAATATGAAAACATTTGTAACACTTTGGTACTACTTAGTTCTCTTTTAGCTTTTAAGACATGAACTCACTCTTTTCTCTTTGCTTTACTTGAAACGTAACTCTCAGGGAATACAATTTACCTTATAGATTTTTAGATTTAGATTCAACTCCTTATTGATTGCTCAACTTGTAGCTTGATCCTTAAAACAAAGTAGAAATTTTTGTTTAACTCTTGAAAATTTTAAGAACTCACATTGACTTGCTTCTTAACTTTTATACTTGACTCTTAACTTCTTTGACTTTGATATGAAGTTTTCTTGAATTTTATTATGGATTAAAGGACCATGATCTCATGTCTATGGATGAGTTTAGATGTACTTTAGAGTTTTGGAATCAACTAGGAGTTATAGGTATATCACTTAGGAATTAGTACGAAAATATAGGGTAAAATGAGATCTCCATGTAACTCAAGCATTATGAGAGGCGCGGGGATTCAGATCCTGATGGACAAACACTTCCCCAATAGGATTTGGCTTGCGTGGTGCGCCAGGCCCTAAGGGTCTGCTCTGAGGGGCTTTGGCAGACGCGGCGCAGCAGGGCTTGTCATTTGGAATTCCCAATGTTTTATATCTGATTTTTAATTCTAAACCTTCTAAACTTCCATGGATCTCACCCCAAACATTTATGATTACTAAAATTCTCAATACCCAATAGTTTATACTCTTAAAACAGTCGGAAAACATAAAACAAATAACCATAGGTATACTACAACTCAACAAATGAGAATTCAACGGTTTTTCATCAAGAACTTCAATGTTCATAAATAAATCTACTATAATTGCACTGAAATAAACATATTGTTGTGTAGGTGGAAGAATACAACACAAAAATATCTCACATATCTCAACCCTGACGAATTCCACTTAAATATCTTGGTGTTCTTGATAAATTCTTGGCCCTTTCTCCTTTCTCCTTCTTCTTTTCTCTTTTCTCCCAAGTTGTAAGTGTATTCAACTTTTTTAAAAGTGATTAAGGCTTAGATTTACCCCTTATAACCCCTTTTAAAAAATTAGGAAATAGTAGAGCGAAAAGACCACTTTACCTTTACCAAAATCCAGATTGGACTCCTCAGTCCAACGACCCAACTTCCAATAGACATATCTCCGTCATACGATATTGAAAATGCGCAAACCCGGCGGTGTTAGAAATAACTCTCCAAGGGCTTTCCAACCATATTAAGAACCGACTCTAACTAATCTTGAGATACAAATTATGGTTGTTTGAAAATGACCAAAAACTCACTTTTGCACTTTGGAAATTTTCCAGATTTTTCCTATTCTTCCAAAAATAACAACTCTTAGTTTATTTGTTAAATCCTGGATATTTTGGTCTACGAGATGTTATAATGTCTCCCTCTTAGGAACATTCGTCCTCGAATAAGAACTTTTTCACTAAGCTAAGGGTAGTAACATTTTTTCAGCACTCAACAAACAAAAGCAAGTAATAACATTCTTACACATAGTCTTATAAAGTGATAAGAAGAGAATTTAGTACCTTGATATACATTCTCTCCAGATTCAATGAGATGTGGATATCTCTTCTTCATATCCACCTCAGCTTCCCTAGTTGCTTCTTCAACAAATTGATTTCTCCTAATGACTTTGACTGATGCAACTTTCTTTGTTCTCAACTTGCGAACATAACGATCCAAAATTATTACCGGAATCTCTTTTTTGGACTAGCTATCTTTAATACCAACATACTATGTAGGTACAATAAGTGAAGGATCACTCATGCACTTCTTCAACATGTATACATGAAATACCGAATGAACCACTACTAATTTTGTTGGTAGCTCCAACACATAAGTTACATTTCCTACTCTCTTGGATATTCTATAAGGTCCAATATATCGGGGACTAAGTTTTTCCTTCTTACCAAACCTCATAATCCCATTCATGGGTGAAACCTTAAGATATACCCAATCGTCCACCTCAATGTCTAACGGCCTTATTCTAACATCTGTGTAGGACTTTTTGCGACTCTGCACCGTCTTCAACCTCTATTGGATCATTTTTCACTTTTTCCAAGGCATGGTAAACTAACTCTGGTCCTATTAACCCTGATTCCCAAACTTCTAACCACCCAGTAAGAGATTTAGATCTTCTCCCATAAAGAGTCTCATATGGAGCCATTTGGATGCTCTAATGGTAATTGTTGTAAACAAACTTAATGAGAGGTATGTGATCATCTCAGTTCCCTTTGAATTTAATCACTAAGCTCTCAACATATCACCTATGGTCTAGATAGTATGCGTTGCTTGTCCATCTGTCTCAGGATAAAAAGTAGTGCTTAAGCTCACCTTTGAACCCAAACCTTTCTCGATTTCATAAATTGTGCAGTAAATTGTGGAGAAATATTACCCTTGAGTGAAAAATGAGCATGCTTTTATTTGAAACACATTGCTTAAAACCTATATCATGAAGGAAATGAGAATTACCATGAAACCAAACCCTTGGAGATTTCTTAAGGTCATATAGAGCAAGCTGCAACTTATGCACATAATCGGGATAATCTGCGTGTTCAAATCTCTTCGGTTAGAGCATATAAATAGTCTCGGATAACTCAACATGCAAGAAAGCATTTGACTCATCAAGTTGGTGCATATGCCAACTCTTTTTAGAGCCAAATATAAGATCAAACGCATTGTGCTAGGCTTAATGGCAGGATCAAAAGTCTCAAAATAGTCCGTCGGGGGCTGCTAAAACAAGCACTTGGGTCACTAAACGAGATTCAAATCTTTCAACAGGACCATTGGCCCAAAACTTGATCTGAAACACCCATTTGTTGCCAACAATATTTTCATTTGGAGGAGACGACAACAAGATCCAAGTTTTATTTTTCACAAGAGAGTCAAATTTGAAACTCACTTCCTGCATCCAATAAGTCTTTACAAGCTTGGGAAAATGATGTGGGTTCAGATGAAATGGAACATCTGGATGCTGTTAAGTATGGAGGACATGAGGCTTGAGCAACCCTATCTTTAGAATTAGTCCCAATATGATGAGTTCGAGGACTTACGATGGGTGATTGTGAGGAAGTTATTTGAAGAATATTAGATGGACAAATGGTTTGCGAGGAAAGGGACAGGGGATGAAATATCTCCTTCAACATGAGTAATAGAGGAGGGGTCCGTAGTTGACATTACGAGTAGTTGGATGGGAGTAACACTACTAGTTTAAGGAAGAGAATTGACAACGATATTCTCCATATTTAAAGGAGTGTAGAGACTTCTATTTTGTTTGGAAATCTGTGAAATCAATGAAGTTTGAATGCTCCTCTTTTGAAATGTGATCTTGATTAGGTAAGAACCGAACTACTACTCATTTTTGAAGTTTCTCCAAAATCAGTATTATATAAAGGAGAAGTAAAAGACATAGAATTATATATTAAAAAAATAAGTGAGAATGAGGTAGGTTTGGGTGAACGAAGTTAGCGTAAGAGTAACAAATAGATTCCCAAACGGGAAGGAGGTCTCAGCTAAATGTACATGTCGAGAGATGAGAGTAACATTTGAGCAAGGATCAAAAACATTTAACATCTTTTTGTTTATCTAATTAACCAAGAAACAAGCATGGTTTTGATAGAGGGTGGGCCTTAGAACACTTATTAAATGCCACAAAGGGACAACAAAAACACCCAAACACACGAATTAGATTGTAATCAGGTATATGACCATAAAATCAAATGGAGATTAATAACACAACACTGGAAGAGGAGTTACGTTAATAAGAAAGAAAGCATAAAAACAAGCATCACCCCCAAAAATTAAAAGATATAGACACATAAAAAATAAGGAAACGAAGAACATTAGATGTGTCTATGTTTACTCTCGGCCCTACGTTTTAAGCATACATGTGAGAAAAGAGAAAGGTGGATGCCATTTTGCTGGAAGAAGGATTTAAAATTTTGATTAGCATATTCTCAGTCAAGATCAGATTGAAAATACGAAATAGAGGTGTGAAAAATATTTTCAACCACTGACTAGAACTCTTTGAAATTTTTGAATGATTCAAAATTTTCATGAATCACATATATCTAAAAGAATTTAGTGCAATCATTAAGAAATAAATACAATAACGATATCAAGAATTTTAGTCAATCGGAGCATGTTAAACATCCTAATAAACTTAAACAAAAGGAGAATTCATATTTGTACTTGATAAATATAACAACATTTTAGTTTGTTTGGCCTAATGACAAACATAACAAGAAATATTGTTAAGAGGAAGAAGTACTTGTTGACATCTTTGTGAGGGCGCCACATCGTGGTGACTCAATTGCAATATAGTTAATCAATTTAAATCGAGAATTAAAATAATTTTAAAAAGGAGTGAAAGAATAAAAGGAAATCACAAATCGAATTTTCAGGAAAACTAGAAAAACAATTAACAAATTAACTTAAAAGAAATGTCTACAAAACACACAGATTCGAGGTAAGGGGTTCAAGTTATTCTGAATAAAAGTTGTTAGGCATCCTTTGAAATCCACATTTGTGGTTCCCGACTAAGTTTGTTTTTCAAATTGAGAAAGAGATAAAAACAAATATACAAGTATAATAAACATGTGATATACACAAGTAATAAAATGAAATAATCTAATAAGAAATGACCTAAGTTTGCCTAACGTCAATATATAAAAAATAATGAATAAAACGTATAATTTGAACTTCATTAGAATAGCTTCAATGGGAAGCACCTCCGTGCACAAACACTTAGTAAAAGTATTAATAATGAATAAATCAAATAATCACTTAAAAATAAAAACTCGTCTTATTAACATGGGAGACCTTGAAAATCGACGATAATTTTTTCATCGGACAATTTGACAAACAAAATATAAACATAAACTACATTTCTATCTTTTATCAATGGGAGGTATTGCAAAATCAACGATAATTTCATTATCGACAAATTTTAAATTAACATGAAGATTTACCCAACTAATAACTTAATTAGAAACAATTAAGAACATCTAAAATCAATCAACAAGTAATATTTGAATTTAAAGAAACGGAGATGATAAAATAAAGAATAAACAACAATTAATAATTAAGAACATCTAAAATCAATCAACCAGTAATATTTTAATTTAAAGAAACGGAGATGATAAATAACGAATAAACAACAATTAATGATTAACTAAAATAGAGACATGACTAACAAATGCAAATAATAATTGACTAAATGGAACCACTTAACATGAAAGTGGCTGGAACATTAGATTTACATTATAAATAATAGCAGCCATATATGACCAAAACTATAACAGTAATATATATATATATATATATATATATATATATATATATATTGGGAAAATGCACAATTACCCCTTCAATCTATGCCCGAAAAACTAGAGACACATTTATGCTATGCTAAGATTTTACTACCCCTTAAACTTATTTTATAAGTAATTTTCTACCCCTTTTCGGCCTATGTTGCACTGACTTAAAAAAAGTCAACCAACGTTGCACTCACAAGATAGTGTCACGTAAGCCGAAAAAAGATAAAATATTATTAATAAAATAAATTTTAGAGGAATAATAGCATCTTAATATAGTATAAGTGTGACTATGAGATTTCAAACATAAATTGAGAGACTAAAATAAGATAAACTAATAACAAAGGAATTGGGAAACAATCATAGACATCTGTATTTATCAAAATAAAGCCATACTAAATAGAATCTAACACAACAATAATAATTCCATAAAATAAATAAATAACAGACATTACAACATTAAAATTAAACAAACACGAACCAATAATATTAAACAAATAAAATTACTGTAAAACAAATAGTAAAGCAACAGTAACATTGAAAACGATAACAATAAGAACTTAAAATTTGACACAGACAAATATAAAATGCAATGTTAAAAGGGTAATCGACTTACCGGAGTATTGTCGTTGCTGGGCCTATTTGGAATCACGAAGTAGTCGTGTTTTTAATTGCTCTGTGTGTGGGCATTTGGAGCTTCGAGCTCAAGTTTTCTGGCAAAGAGGGTGAAGGGAGTCGGGGTCTTGTTGTCCGGTGGTTCTGCAGTTATTTCCGGTGGTTTTGGGTCAGCTAATTGTTCGCCGGATTCGTTGGTCGCTGGAATAAGAGCTCATAGCTCACTGAAGTACTTGCAAAACAAAGGAAAATTTTTAAAAGGGGAGATGGAAAAGGAATAATGACTGACAGTGGTCGGAGTTATTTTTCGAACAGATTGTTCGGGGGCTAGTTTAGCTCGCTACTCAGAGCTATGAGAACAGTAGTTTGGAGTCGATTTTAGTGGAGATCTTGTGGTTTGTTGCTTGCCATTTGGAGCTGCTGGCTGCCATGGTGTTTTCCAGGTGGTTGAAGGTCGTTTCTGGTGGCTGTGAGGAGAATGGAGATAGTTAATGAGATGAGAGGGATGATGTTAAACCTGCTATTTTAACTAAGGTCTATAAACGCAGGAAGATGGTTGAAATCAGGTTTAAATATTACTCCATCGGTTTCAAAAAGAATGGTCTAGTTTGACTTAAAACGGAGTTTAAAAAATTAAAAAAAACTTTTTAATCTTGTGGTTCTAAATTAAAATTATGTTAAATGTATCAAAATACCCTTTAATCTTGTGGTCTTAAACATGCCACGCGAAAAGTTAAAGTGTTGTAAAAAAAGAAAAGGGTCATTCATTTTGGAACAAACTAATAGGGAAATACGGACTTCTTTTTTAAACAAAGTGAGTACTATTATTGATTTAATTAGTTATTACTATGTATATGTATTTTACTATTGCTTTATTTAATTAGTAGGAAAATGCACAAATACCCCCCAAACCTATGCACGAAATCTCAGAGACACACTTATACTACATTAAGGTCCTATTACTCCCTGAACTTATTTTATCAATAATTTTTTACCCTTTTTCGTCCTACGTGGCACTAGCTTTATGAAAAGAATCAAACATCGTTGGGCCCACAAGATAGTTCCATATAGGTCGAAAATGGTAGAATATTATTAATAAAATAAATCCAGGGGGATAATAGGACCTTAGTATAGTATAAGTGTGTCTCTGAGATTTCGGGCGTTGATGGGGTACTTATTCATTATCCCTAGTTAGTAGGTAATTTACCCGCGCTTCCCGCAGGAATGAGAAATATTTCTATCCTTTTGAACAACTTTACCAATAATTGACTATTACAAGAAAAAAAAAGTAAATTGTTGTAGGATTTCAGAACATTCCTAGAAAAATTAAATTATTTGACATTATCACATATTTCAAAAGTTATAAGTATGTAATTAATGATTAAAAATATCTTGGTATCTAATTATTTTTATCATTACATAATTTATCATATAATATCTATGATGATGTAGTTGCCCTTTTAAAATTGAATCATGTTTTTATTTACCGATTTAACATTACTTTTTCATTTTTTTATACATGAAAAATATAGAATGTGACAGTTTTATGGTTATCGTAACTCTTTGTGTAAAAAAAATTATGTGAAAGTTTTTTATAATCAATATTAGTTATAAATAAGTTAAGACCATTAAAAAATGTGCACCTCAACAACATAAATAATATTTTTAGAGAAAATCTACTTGTCTAAGGTCAAATGTTCACCAACTTTTCGCTATTATTACTTTTTTATTGTAATAAAAAATTGTAGAAGGAGAAAAATATATTTGAAATAACAACAAAATAATATTGTTAACCCTTATAGAAATTTATTTTTCATTAAACTGCGGAAGACCCTTTTGGATGCTTCATCAATGCAACTTTACGATTTTTTTAGGAATATTTGTGTATGATTGTCACATATGAAAGTACACATCTAATAAAATGTTGGTTTCTAGACTTATGTTAGAGAAACATTCTCTAACATTAAAAAAAAAAAAATTAACCTAGATGATTCAAACGCTCAACAATGACTTGGGACATGATGGACGATAAATTTATGTTAATAGACATATCTTTTGTAGTTGAAGATATTACTTTTATTTTGAGTAGGTTTTGTTTCATATTCTTTAAATTAAGTTTGACTAAAAAAGTCATCACTTACGCCAAAAATATTTAGAAGAGCCAAATATGAAAAGGAAAAAATATTAAAAGGAAAAAGATTTTGTCATAGTGAGATTGTATACATACCAAACAAAAAATAATTAATACAATCGTAAGGAGACTAGAAGAGAGCGAAAAAAACATACATTAAAGGGAGAAACTATGAGACACCTCAAAAAATTACTTCAATCAACTTTCAATCCTTACAATACTGTTAATATACAATGATAAAATTTAGTAAAAATAGACAATATAAAAACCAAAAAATATGAACACGCAAAATTATTAACACTCAGAGAATTTTCGGATGAACACAAAGTCACATCCTTGTGAAGGAATAATGATGTTGATGATGAAATTTGGGATTTGTAAGGGTTTTTTTAATGTACCTTCAACAAATTCAGTAGAGAAAACTTGTTTGAATATTCTATTAACATTTCTTATTTAATATGTACTAAAAAATACATATAATAATAACTTTGTATAAACATAAACATAAAAAATTAAATCATATATTCAAAAACAACAATTAATAATATAAGTATAAACTAATAATTGTAAACAACATACCATTTTATGCAACAATAGAATGAAACAGAATGGAAAAAATCAACTCCATTGAATGTACAATGTAGTCCTCTATTTATAGACTTCAAAGAGTAGTGTAAACATATGATTATTGTGTCTTATCGGAAAGGTCACGGCTCTTTCGAAAAGTTACATTCCTTCGAAAAAGTCACAACATTTCATAAAATTCACAACTCTTAATAAAGTCACAATTTTTCATGAAAAAAGTTACAAATTTTCATAAAAGTCACAAGTTTTCATGAAAGAAAAACACTAGATTTGGAAATAAAATAAATTTAAAGACAATTTTGGCTTGTGGTGGCGCCACGTAGGCGAGCCTGAGGTTCTCTTTTGTGTGTGTGTGTGTGTGTATATATATATATATATATAGAACATATTAATAATAAGAGCCCATATTGCCCATATTTAATGACTTGGATCACTCATATTTTTATTTGTCAAATATGGGCTTCAACTATTTTAAGAGTCTCTACAAATATGGTGAAAATGGGTTTAATATGGGTATCCATTTCATCAATATTAGATCACTTACTTTCACTTTTACTCAAAAATCTTAATTGTGCTAAAAATAAAAAAATAATATTAATATTTCAAAAATTTGAAATTTAATAGAAAAACAAATTATGGTGGAAGGTCGGGGGGGGGGGGGGGGG